AAATAAATAAATAAATAAATAAAAATTATGAAGAGTGCAAAAATCTTTAAAAACTTTTTAAATCTTTAAAAATCATTTTAAACACATATAAATTTAACATTACTGGCCGACAGATTTCTGACCTTTATGGAAAGGGGTTTTAAAAATTCTGGAGTTTTTAGTAAATAAGGATTTTTCTTAATTCTCCTTAAATTCCAACTTTCAGCAAAGTAACAAAGTACACTAAAATTTGGGTCCAGAGGAACCAAAAATCTACACAATCAATGCCAGCAAATATTTCTGCTACAATAGAAAAATTGGCTGCTCTCCTACATCTATGAATTTAGGAATCAATTCACTTTCTAAGTTCCTATTTTTATGCAATGAGATTGACAATGACACAAAGGCGATTTCAAATCAAGTCACCTGAATGTGAATTTCACGCCTGCTGGGACTCCTCCGTCCCTCAGGGGCGCCAAGGCAGGCCGCAGCCCACTGGAGTCACCTGAGTAGCTTCCGGAACCGCTGTGGCTTTGTCCTCCGCTGGAGCCTGCCAGCGCTGGCCCGCCGTAGCCACTGCCGACTCCCAACTTCCGGACTGTGCCCGGGCAGCACCTGCGGGCCAGACCAGGAAACCGGGGGACCAGGTCAGCGGCCTGAAGACTGTTACATCTCAGACTGCCTCAATGTTACACAGGGCAAGGCCAAGTAAATTGTGCATTCTTAGTTTCAAATGTAACACTTAGATTTGAAATAGTGAAGGCATGGTAAATCAAGCCTGCAACGCCAGCCTTCCCGAAGCTGAAGCTGAAATAGGAAGATCCTGAGTTGTGGCCAGCCTGGGATACACAGCAAGACCCCGTCTCAAACAAAACCCGGCCTTGGCGGTACACACTTTCGATCCCTGAGGGAGACCCTGTCTCCAAATTTTAAAAATGTAAAAGGGCCTTAGGAAGTAGCTCAGTACAAAGGCCCTGGGTTCAAGGAAGGAAGGAAGGGAAAGGAGAGGACAAACTTTGAAATGATTCCTAAAGATTCACATTGGCATAAATCATACACGGTATTAGTTATATTGAAAAGGTGAGGTTGAAAATACCACACACAATCTCACCACTCATGCTTTTTTTCCATTACAAAAGCAGGAAGTTTTATTTTTGAGAACTACAGGCAATTTGCATATTTTTTGGTTAACTACCCCTTCAAAAGCTCACATCAGAGAGAAATGGAGTTGATCTATTTCCATTCTCTTACACAGTGTTTGGCATAGGACCTTGCACAAGTACTGTTGATCATTTATTTCCTTAACCCTGATAACAATACACAGCTTCCGACTACAAACACACCTAAAAGTATTTTTAGTGTCTGCTAGATGAAATTTAATTTTCCTCCAAATCTCAAACATTTAAAAAAACAACATATCATAAACATAAACCCAGTCATGATACAAGCACACGGTAAAATCAGTTACCCAACACCTTTCCTTGGTTATAAAATGTGGTTCTAATAAATACAACACCAACTCTTCATGAATGGTCGGTCACTAAAATAAACTCTGCGCTTTTTTTTTTTTTCTTTCAGGTACTGGGGATGGAACTTGAGTCCTTGCGCTTGCAAGGCAGGCCACCGAACCGCTGAGCTAAATCCCAGGCCCTCTACGCTACTTTTGATTGATTCATAATTTTTCTTTTTCACTAATAAAATAAATATCTCCACTTGCCCTTTCTCTGTTTTCCTGGGGGAAAGAGAGACCAGCCTGCACCTGTGAAACCCTATGGACAGCAGCTCCTGGCTGCCCTCCCTGGCAGCTGAGGGCTCACACCCTGCCTTGGAAGCCCAGTGAGGCCCCTCTCAAAATTAAAAACCACAGTGGGAAGCTCTGCCAGGGACATAGCTCGGTGAGAAGGGTTCAATTCCCAGGTGGAGGGGCCTGTATCTGCTTGGTTCCTCACTATGCTTTAACATGTTGCTTCATTTTCATTCTGCAGCATTTTCTGAGGAACAGCAGCAGGCTGTGGCTATTCCCGTTTGAGAGATGATGAAAGTAAGGCTCATATATGGAAATCACTCTGCTAAGTTCAGACAGTACATTATGCAATGAACTCACTGCCAGGTCAGGGCCCCCCTTACCCAGGTCCAAGATATGATTTCTATGCTACCAACTTTTCTCCAGATGCCGCAAAAAGAAAGGAAAGAGAAAAATGCAAGGAAGAACTAGAAGGAGGCGGAGAAGGAAGGAACTGAGGAAAGAGAAGGAAAAAAACACCGAACTAAAGCACCAAACTGATAGTTTTACAGGGGAATTCTGCTCAATTCTGAAGAAACATAATCCAGTGTTATTTAAACTGTCCCAGATAATCACTTATCAGTCTTTTGGCTAAGATCAAGTGTAAACTGTCCCAGATCACAAAAAGAAATAAAAACCGGAAAGCTTGAAAGTGTGTATGTGTGTGTGTGTGTGTGTGTGTGTGTGTGTGTAAAAGGATTAAACCAAGGCCCTGGCACTAACTTACACATCAGTCATGTTTATTTTTCATTTTGAGACAGGGTCTTGATAAACCACTACATTGCCCAGGCTGGCCTCAAACCTCCACAATCTGCCTGCCTCAGCCTCCCAGAGTACTGGGATTATAGGCATGTGCAACCACACACAGTTTGGAAATCCTTCCTTAAAATGTAAACCTAAAATAAGAAACAACTTTTTATAATTGGAAAACTGCCAACCAACTTCATTCAAGAGCACTGATCAAATTTCTTTTTAAAATCACAGAACCAAAATCTAAAGGTCTAGTAAAATTACCAATGATATAATCATAGCACTTGGGAGGCTGAGGCAGAGCAGAAGTTCAAGGCCAGCCTGAACCACATAGCATGACTCTCAAAAAACAAGGAGCCTGGGCCAGGGATTTAGCTCAGTGGCACTGTGCCTGCCTCATAAGTGCAACGTCGTAAGTTTGATCCCTGGTACCAAAACAGGCATGGTGGTGCACATCTGTAATCCCAGCACTCAGGAAGCTGAGATAGGAGGATCATGACAAAATTCAAGGCCAGCCCAGAATACATATTAAGGTTAGGGCTTCCTTAGAATACACAGCAAGACCCTGTCTATCTTTCTTATAAACCAAGAAGAAGGAAGAGAAAGAAGGGAGGGAGAGAAGAAAGATATGATTATGAAGTGATTCCATAAATACAAGAACGGTCTGATATTAGTACATGCGTTATCACCTTCTTGGTGTGCAGGTGTAAGTAAACAAACACACACATAAACATCTACATAACCTCTAGTTCTGCCCACTGATAAGAGTCAGGGGCAATACTTCAATAGCAAGAAGCATCTAGACCAGTGATGGTGAACCTTTAGAAATGAGTACCCAAACTGCAGCCTAAAACCCACCTATTTATTGCAAAGTGCCAGCATTGCAATTAAGCCTAAATATTCAGGTTTTAGAAAAAACAACTCATACATTAACA